AGGTTTTATCTTCCAGATATGATCATCGCTCTTTGCATACTCGAAATGTTCAGAATGCTTAGTAAATGAAGGAAGAGAAGAGTAAGATGTGGTTTTTGCCTCCAAGAAGAACTGCTATTCAGTTTCCTTTATAGAAGACAAGTAAATGATACAGGTAAACATTAATTAAGGGGTCAAGGACTGGCAGTGTGGTGCAGTGGGCTAAGTCACCATTTGTGATGCAGGCGTCCCATATCAGAGTGCCAGTTTGAGGCTCAGCTGCTCTGCTTCCAATCCAAGAAGATGATTTAAGAACCTGGGTCCCTGCCACCCAAGTGGGAGACCAGGGTAGAGCTCCAGGCTCCTGGCTTCAGCCTGGCCCAGGCCTGGCTGCTGGGGTCTTTTGGAGAAGGAACTAGCAGATGGAAAACGTGTGTGTGTGTGTGTGTGTGTGTTTCATTTCCTCCTGTCACTCCACCTTTCGAATGCATAAATAAATCCTTTTTTAAGTTAAGGGAATAAATTTCATGTGAACTGTCTGCAATGATCAGAATGTACCTCCACCCCAGATTCAGATTCCAAAACCTGATCTCCAAGGTCATTGCATCATGATGTGGGGCTCTGATGTAAGCCTCAAGAAAGGAGTCAGAGCTCCCCTGAAACAGATCCCAGGGGGCTGCCTTTCCCTTCCACTATGGAGGTCACAACTCAAAGGACCCACCTGAGTACCAGGAGGCAGCCCTGACCAGACAGGAAATATACCAACTGAAAGGCCACCAACACACACCAAACGCCAGAGTGAGGGAAAAGTTTACTGTTGGCCAACAAGGCTGCCACTCAGTTCACAAGAAAGCAGCGCCCTGTGCTAGAACCTGTCTTACATAGCTTAGCAGAAATGAGGAAGGAAGAACATCAAATTCCATTGGGTGGGGTAAAGCAGTGTGTATGGAAGTACATTTGTCAACTGATTTCTGGAGAAATTTATCTTGGAGAAACTGAAACTTATTGTACAAAATGGCAGCTGGACCAGAGCCCAAGATGGCACCCAAGGCTTAAGATGGTGCCTCAGAGAAGATGGTGCCATTTTCACTAACATTTGCCTTTTTTTGTTTTTATAGAGCAAGTGTTGTATAGGATTACACTGGCCCCCAAAGCCCAGGAGGAGTGGACAGATGATGATTAATTTTCTGGAGTCACTTCCTGCTGGCAGGGGGCAATGAATTACTTTCTGCTGGCATGGGTGCCATCTCAAGCCACGATCACCTGGGTAGGGAGCTGGTATATTCCTGTAGTAGCATTTGGTTGATTGCCTGGTTGGTGAAGGCTTTGGTTCCTTCCATTATCACTTCCTGTAAACATTTATACAGAAAGGTATTATAAAAGCCAAGGTGAGAATAGCAGGCAGTGGTCCTAGGAGGGGCATGAACCAAGTGATAAGAATGCTCCTTAAGGAGGGAGAGAGGAGGGATTCTTTGGAGCCTAAGGAAGATTGTTTAATAGATGGCGGCAATTTGTTGGAGTGTTTCAACATTTTGCTCTACCTGGCCCTATGGATTAACATAATAGCAACATTGTTCTCTCAGAAAGAAAAATGCAAGTTCCCCCCTTTTTAGTTGTTCTAAAGTCCAGAGCTCGCCTATTTTGTAGCACTACACTTGGATCCAAGTCATGGTATCAGTGAAAAGCCACCACAAAACACACCAAACTCTGGAGTCCAGGAAAAGGTTATTGTCAGACGACAAGGCTGCCTCTCCACGCACAGGAGACATAGCAGCCTGCACTCAGCACCCTTGGGTTCTACCCTCATCCATCCATGCTTCCCTCCATCAGATGAAAAGTCTTTCTCTTGCGCTGGAAAATAATCACAGTGCAAACTGGGTGGTGACTCACTTCCCTGTCTATCAAAAGGAGTGTTGAAATTGTAATTTCTACTGCCACAGAGTAAACAACACATTTAATTCTGTTGTTAATGCTACACAAACATTTAATTCTTGTTTGCACTGAATTTGGCTGAATTGATGGGAACAGAGCTTTGATCCACTTATTATTTTATCAGTTTTCTTTCAGCTTTTCCTGCAGGACACACAGTGGTTGACCACACTCTTACTCTCTAAGCAAGGCATCTCTGTTGGCTTACTTCCCATGTTCCCACTTTATCCTGAATTCCAGACAGCTTCATCCTTAGTTTGGAGGGCACCTGCACTGGGCCCAGGGGTGAGCATGTGAGCCAAATGTGTGGCCCTGGATGTGTCCTGGGGTGACAGATTTGACAGCAATGCCCAGAGGGGTTGTGACAAGACAGACAGGAGTCAGGAGCCTGGTATAACCAAGGTAGCATGGTCACAACCAAAGGACACCCACCTCTCCACTGCCACAGTGATGACAAGAAGTTTGCTATATTGTGTAATTAACCTTCTTTAAGTTCTTGCTTAAGAAAGCATGGGAATAAAATTATTTTAAAATGTAGATGTTGTGCTTTTCCTTCATCAATATTAATCTCTGTGAAAAAATTAAAATCTACTTTAGGTATCAGACCAACAGGGATGCATATTTCAAAGACAAAAACAAAGATGGTGGTGGACAAAATGCACATGAGGCACTCAGATTTCCATTTGCTTTCTGGAATTCCAGGAAGGTCAGGTTAGAAGGGAGAAGGATGCTCCAGTGTCTACCCCCATCTGATGAACCTCTACCCCATCAAATACGCCCCCTCTGACTTCTCAATCATCTCTTCGAAATATTTGCTTCAGGTGTAGGCTCTGGCAGGTCGCCTTCACACCTCCATTGTTTATACAGCAACTATGAACGACAGGCAGGGAGACATGGAGTGCTTCAGACTTTATGTGCTGACCGGTAATGCTGGAGCCAGCTGTCCACATTGGCCATGTGCTGCCTGGTCCCACATGGGGTTCTGCACCATCTCACTGGAGCCCCCCTCCTTTGTGGGATGCTCTCCCGGCTGAGGTCCCCTCATAGAGCAGGACCCACAGCAGCTGCTGCTCCAGGGGTGTCCTGGGCTGATGTGCATGTCCTGACAGTGCCGTGCCCCCAGACATGGCAGCATCTCACCTCCTCCTGGGACTTTCTTCTTGATGCTATGGTTACAACAGCCGCAGGATCCCTGCTATGCCCCGCTGCATGGAGACCCAGACAGGAGACACAGGCACCAGGTGGAGGGACTTCTCTTTTCCTCCCTTCAGAGGGGTGATCCCAAGAAGCAGCCTGCACTGCTGAATCCTTCCTTGCATCATGAAAGCCGACCATGCCCAGTGGCTTCCGACTCCACCTGCCCCTTGTCTTAACCTCTTCTCCCTCTGCTGCTTTGTTCTTCTCACACCTACTCCTTTGGACTGGCTACTTCTCCCCAGACTCTGCTTTCTAGGGAATCCCAGCTGTAGCATCAAAGTAGGAGCCAGAACCTTACCCAGATGCAGTGGGGAGGGAGGGTCAACTTCTAGACTGATTATTGGGAACAGGAAATGGAAACCACACAGCCCAGATGAAGTTGAAATTCCCTGTCATGCACTCTGGTGTGAACCTGATGTGCACATATTTTCATGGCACAAAGAAATGAAAGAATGAATGAATAAACCAACCAAATGGTCAAAAGCAGGATATGGCTAAGAAGTGCAAAGTCAGAGCAGAGAGAGCCAAGGAAGGATCACCTGCTTCTCTGCACTCCCCAGTGGGATCAGTGGGGCCCACTGGAGTGGACTTTCTATCCCGAATGTTCAACAAAGACCCAGGAACACTGCCTGGGTGTGAAGACCCTGAGGACTGATTGTAGCATATTAGGTTCAGGAGGACCTCAGTGTTTCTGTACACAAAATAAGCATTTGATCCAGCTCTCTGAACCACTTTCTGTTCAATGTGTAGTTTGAGAACTCACCATGTGCTAGACGTGATTCTAAAACTCATGCCCAACATGCAGGCACCATACAAATGTGCATGCGTGTGTGTGCATGCACACACACACAAGACCATGGTATTAGAGTCAGACCTTTGTTGTGTTTCCTGTTGTGCATGTTCCCAGGACTTTCTGGAGCCATAGTCCTGCCCCTCACCTCTACAGGGCCCCCATGCCTGCTGTAGCCAGTGGCATTGAACATGGGTACCATAATGTCATTTCCCTTCCAGTCCCTAGGACCCCAATACCATGTGGGTGGGCCAGGTCCTCTTTGCCATACTCTTTCTGTGAGTATGGACATGTTATAAACTGGCAGTGCTCAGGATCATAACAGCTAGCAAGTGTGGCTTGTGTGACTGGGGAATTTTCTTCTAGTTGAGTTAATGTTAAAAAGCTCAAGACAACCAGAGCTTGTGTGGCTCTGCAGCATTCAGAGCCCAGCTCATTAGTTAGCTGTGTTACTCTGTGCAGGCTGCTGTAATAAAGACCTTACCCTGGGTAACCTGCAAACAACAGTCTGCAGGCTGGGAAGTCCACGCTCTTGGCTGTGGTGGATCCAGTGTTGAAGGAAGGAGCTGTCTTCTTCATCAGTGACAGCTTCCGCCTGTGTTTCCATGTGGTGAGGCAGCCCATTTCAACCTTAGTGCACTTGTGCCCCCCATGAGAGTAGAGAGCCCGGGGATACAATCACTGTCTGCATGCCTAACCCTCAACCTCACCACTCTGCAGGGTTCGAGTTCAAAGTAAACTTTGGAGGGACACAGGCAGACTTTGGCATCAGCACCTGCAGTTTTGTGGTCAACCCAGTCCTCCCACCCCCAATATTAGCTCTGTTGGCTTCCCAAGAAACTCCAGTATTGACGAGACAATGGCAAGGGTTTTGACTAAGCCTGAGAAGGAAGACAGAGAGGGAAGAACCAGCAAAAGGCTCAGGAGAACAGGGCTCCCAGTTGTGACTGTCTGAGAATGAGGAGAAAGGGAAAGACTAGCATTCAAATGTGCGTGCATTACAGGAACATGAGAAACGAAGCGGCCCGAGCCTGAAGAACCTCTGAATGACATCACAGTTGGACTGATGACAAAGGCTCCGGGCCAGCATCTGTGGGAGCAGGATGGGTGAATGGGGGGTTCCAATGGAGGAGGCTGAAAGTGACGGGGAGGGGTGCTGAGAAAAGGGAGGTGGTGTGGGCTCCAAGGGCACGTGTCAGCTCTGCCTGACTCTTCCTGTCCGGGAGTGGAGCTTGCTGTCCCGGTCACGGTCCTTTCTCAGAGCTGGTTGATAGTGGGGCCCATGCAGTCATTGTTTCCGTTAAAGATGGTGAGAAGAGGGCACAGGACAAGACTGTCAGCTTTCCTTGTGCCTGTGCAGCGTGCTCGTGCCTAGAGAGAAGTGACAGCAGTTACACAGATGTGAGCAAGAGCACAGAGAAGTCTGAATGGTAGAAAAGCAGAAATGCAATCACATTACTGAAACTTTGGTGCATTCGATGAAGTCCTGGGAAAGTACAGAGAAGAAGACAGGAAGCCTTCAGTCGACCTAGAAGCACTTGAGGTTAGCAGTGCCCAGACAAGTGCCCCTGCTTTCTTGTGAAAATCTGTCCTGTGCAGTGGGATGCCTCACCCAGAGCCTCCTCATCGCTCCCCCAAGCCAGGGGAGGCTGGTCCACCCAACTGTGTGCTCAGAATTCCAGAGGGAGAGATCCTCAATGCTGTCAGCTGCCAGCAGAGGTCCTTCTCCATCAAATCAAAGGCAAATGAACCCAGGCTCACTCTTTTCCATGTTTTCAATTTTCTGAGCCTTGATTCTTTGGGGGCCCTGCGGCTCGTGGGGGGCTGGCCCGCAGCCAAAGCAGCTGCCAGGCTCATTCTATCCTGGGCTCAGCACTGAGGGAGCCCTGAGCAGTGGGTTTAATGCAGTCCACCTGACCCATCAGAGGCAGCCAGGGCCGCCAGGGATGCTGTGCCTGGGGAGAGTGAGGTCTGGCTCTCCCGGAGCCTGGGCTGGGTGGGTGTGACTCCCATTGTCGTAAATCACCAGACCTGTTCTTGAGCACCGTCTCACGCCAGCCAGCAGGGAGAGGACTCAGAGCCTGGCCAGCGAGGCAGATGGAGGCACTTGGCCCTGAGCCACCTGACGCTGCTGGACGGAGGCCCACGCTGGGTTTTGTGCCTTCCCCCAGGCCCTGCTCCAGCCCCTGGAAACTCATGAGGATCATTTAGGTGATGGATGGCCAGGGGAAAGGAGCGCATGGGAAAATTCCCTCTGCCTTGCCTGGGGTCTCCACTGCTCCGAAAAGAAACATGGCAGGCCGACTTCATATTTAACCATGGCCAGGATTTATTTACATCTGCGGAGGTGGGCTTCTACATACACTGGCATTAATATCAGTGTATTTTCTCCTTACCACGAGAATTTCTGTTCCAAAGTCTTCTTTTAGGTTAATCTAAAACCCCCTAAAAGAGTAGGTAAGAGTGTTGTCCATAGCCTATATTCAGGCAGTGGTGACAAAAGTGTCACGTAGGTAGGAGCTAGAGGGAAGGGGGATGGCAAGGGCTGGGGGGAGGGCAGGAGTGGTGAAGAGGAGTCAGCAGGTTCAGCATGTCAAGGTCCTCAACACTGGCTCCATGAAGCACCTACTGTGCGCCAGACACCACAGGCTCACAACCTGTGGGGAGCAACCGAGACTAGACTAAATTACTGAAACTAAGACTAACTCTATGCATCTGATCTCCCACAATATGGCACTGAGAGAGAGCAAACAACTTCTACACAGATGCCTCGCCAATTCGACTGATAAGCTGCAGGAGCTGATCCTGCTCCTGATTGGAGGAGAGCAGCGTGCTCGGCGTGTGGGCAGCAGAGTTGGGATTGGTGGAAGAGGACTATAAAGGAGGAGAGAACATCTAAGGGGAACATCCGGATAACATCTGAGCAGCCCCTGAGAGAGCCGGCCGGCGGTGTGCTGCTCCTCCCGGGAAGCGGGGAAAGCGGCGGGGGTGCCGCCCCTCCACGGAGGCGGGGGGGGGGGGGGGACAGCAAACCCGGGACGGCGTCGTTCCTCCGCGAGTGAGGGAACGACAGCAAACCCGGGAAGGGCCAGGCAAAAAGAACAGTGCAGGGTCCAGTGTCATTCCTCCGTGAATGGGGGAGCGACAACAACCCTGTTTCCTCCACTGTCTTTGTTTTCCATTCTGGGAAGCTGAGGCTTAGAGTCCACATTTCCAAGAGGACCATGCTAAAAAGTGACAGAAATAGCATTGGAATGTGTCGGTGTCAATCAGCCTCCTCAAAACAAAGAGTGCTGTGCTCCACCCTAGACAGGGGAACCAGCTACCCCTAATTGTTTTGTCTCTAGCCATCCTTCAACATTCAGCTCACCTGAGACGTCTTCCTAACGTCTGTGGAAAAAGTGCTTATCAAAAAGCAATGCATGGATTTCAAAATTTTTCATAGGAAAACACACGTATCTTCAATTCTCCTCTTCTGCGAAATCTTTCATGTGCTTTCTTGCACCACCTCCTTAGCAATACCTTCCGTAATCCCAACCCCTGCTTCATTCCCTCACTGCTCTCAGGGGCTCCTGGCTACTTGTGTGTTTTGCTAAGCGACTGCAGGTCAGCACATCTTCTTGAACGGTCATTATGTCGTCTGCGCCTGGATCATCATCAGTGAGCTCTTCCTGGGGTGAGTGGACCAGGGAATGGAGAAGAGCTCTGCAGAGCTGATGACCCAGGCACCACCCTTTGCCTAACAAGGCTCCTCCTCCCTTCCAGAACTGCTTATGCCCCGGAGGCCATCCGGGTTTGTCGTCCACTTCTTCCCTGGAAAAGCAAACTCCAGGGAACTGATGTTGCCTGGACTTCTCCTTCTAGAGACATCATGACCATTCCATCCATGAAATATTTACTAGGCTAAAATCCTCATTCGTCTTCAGTCTTCACTGAGCATCAAGACTTGTGTGCTCAGTTATTACTAATAAATACCCAAAGTATTAAATATGTAGTTGGACAATCTGTTATATTATTTACATAATAGAATTGTGGCAGGCATAAATGTTAATGAATAACAATGCAATATTATTAGAGATCACTTATACTTGCAAAATGGTGAATTATTCAGGAGCCTCTTAATTCTAAATGTAATATCATATGAGATGGAAACTATCAGGTATATTTTATTCATAGCCAATGTTGAATGTTTATACTTTTGACAGGTGCAATCACTTCACCCTGACTTGCTTTGGAGGCACGATTAGAGAAGCTTTGTGTGGCACAGATTCAAGGGAACCCTGAAAATTGCAAGGGACACCATGGTTTTTCCCAGGGTAGCCCCACACCATTGTGCTCAGAGAACATTGACTTTGAAAAGTGTGGGAATCCCCCTTCCAAGGTTTCTCAGGGGGACTGAAAAGGGCACTCACTCACAAATGGCAGAATAAGAATTTGCCAGATGATCATAGCATATGTTCCAGTGAGTTCCCCAATCTGGAAATTTATGTTCAGGTCACAGAACAATTTTGCATGGCTCCCTCCTCAAAGTCGTAGTTGGTACTTTAGCTGCACAGAGTGCTTTTTCGTGATGAAATTTTGAATGGGGAAGTTTTAATGGCTTTTGAGCTCCTAATTGCCTGTTACACATTGCACTGCTTATTGTTCTACAAGCTTTGCAACATCTCTGAGATACAAGTTGCATTTCACATGTCAGCCTTCACGTTAAAGTTAAGGGAAAAAATGCAGAGCTGATGAGTAGGAGACCCATGCTCGGATAACTGACAAAGAAGATGCTGGAAACTTTGGTCAAAATGTGCGATCTTCCCCTTAATGCCAGACCCAACCTGAGTGACACAAGCTGTGCTTTTGCCATCCTGTCTCCTTTGGAAGTGTTTGGATGCTATTTTCCTTGAAGCATGAATATTTAAGGAACTTCTGTTATCTGTAATACTCGGGGAAACCCCGCGAACAATAAACATCCAAGCCCTTCTTCCATGCAGCTTTAAAGGGTTAAAAAGACTTAGGTCTCCTTAAGATGACTGATTCATTGAAGTAAGGACGCTTTACACACCTCACAGTCAAGGAGCACTGCCAGTCCACTGAAACTGCTTGGCCCACAGCATTTAAACTCCTAAGGTAAAATGTGAAGACTTGGTCTTCCTTCAGAGCCATGCTTTGAGGAGCAGTAGGGTTTCTGTTTTGCTGCTAAGTTTTCCAACCTTCTGGAAACCCCCATAAACCCATAAACCATAAATCCACCTTGTGGCAGCTGCAGGAACTACCCCATCCCACAATTCTGGGATCCGGGGTCTGGAGGAGAGCTTGCCAGGAAAGTGGTTTTATTTTAATTTTATTCTACTAATTTGTCTGGCCTGCCCATATTCCTGCAGTATTTTTTGCATTTTTTGCCATTCTTTAGAAATTCTTAGAGTCTGCATTAGCTTTGGGCAAGTCCAGGAATGGCAATCCAAGAACATGCTCCTTACTTCTCCATCTCTGCCTTTATACAAACTACTCACAGCTGGGATCAAGAAAACATGAATTTACCTTTAGGATGAAACTATATTCTTATGGTTACACTTATGAATGGGACCTTTGGGAAACCACAAAAATAAAAGTGAAAAATTTTTCATAGACGCATTCATGTTTGTGATTCACCTAACTGATGGATGAATTACCACTACAAATACTTGGAGTTTTTTCTTAGGGTATCTATATTTTCCATCCCCTTTTGTCCAGATCAGTGGCCCTCAGACTTGACTATGTATTCAAATCCCCTCGATATTTAAAATGCATATTCAACTTTAACAACAGTGAAGATAGACCCAGAAAGGTAAAGCTAAAGCTAAAAATAACCTAAAAACCTCCAATGAAAGACAACATTGATTACTAGGATGCATCCCTGTTGGGGGGAACACTTCTGTAGAAAAATTAGCTCAGCAAGATTCAAACAGGTTGGGGATCAAATAAGTCTTTCATTTACTACACCCACTAACTTCAAGCACTTCAAGCTAAAAGTTTAGGACAAGAACTTTGGTATTTCTGGGAGCTCACATGAAGATAAAAAGCAGAGCATGAAATGAAAAACACCTTTAGATTAAGAAATAGTTCTCATGGACACTGCCTGATGGATTGCAAGAAAAATTAATGAAAGAACTGGATGATGGGTATGTGCTGGTCATTTTCATTTTGAAAGTGTGTGTATCGACAAGATTTTTGACGTTTTTTGTCTCAGATCTATTTATGCACTTACTTAGAAATTTGAAAGGCAGGACTGGCGCCGCGGCTCACTAGGCTAATCCTCCGCCTTGCAGCGCCGGCACACCAGGTTCTAGTCCCAGTTGGGGCGCTGGATTCTGTCCCGGTTGCTCCTCTTCCAGGCCAGCTCTCTGCTATGGCCAGAGAGTGCAGTGGAGGATGGCCCAAGTGCTTGGGCCCTGCACCCCATGGGAGACCAGGAGAAGTACCTGGCTCCTGCCATCGGATCAGCGCGGTGCACCGGCCACGGTGGCCATTGGAGGGTGAACCAACGGCAAAGGGAAGACCTTTCTCTCTGTCTCT